GGGCAAAGCGGTCCGCAATTCATATTCTTTCACTGTACGGTGAAGAGCAGGGAGGCAGCTGGGCAGCTCCTTACGGCATAAAAGCTCTGCAGAAAGGAGCATCTTTTCAAGCAGAGACTTCCATGCTGAGGGTCAGTGAGTCCGTGGGTTTGCTCAACAGGCTCCTGCTCTTACTCACGCTGGAGTCAACAGCAGAAGTCCCACTGGTATCGATGGGAGCAGACTCGGGCTACTAAGTAGGAAGTGTCCAAGGAAAGAGTCATACCGAGTTCAAAGGGGCCTGCCTGTTTTATGGATGAGCTGGTGTTTACAGGGTCAGATGCCATCCCTCTTCTACCCTTCTCGAGTCCCTGAAAAATCAATGAATACAGGAGGTGGGTGGGTCCTCCTTGCTGCTGTTTGTGACTCAGTCTTAAGGCTAAGATGATGGCACGTTACAAAAATAGATGGTAATGGATGGTGATGGTGGGAATGGGTTTTCGAGGGTTTATGCAGGGTGGGATAGGATTGCACTTGCGCATCCTAGTCCACTTAGATGTCTAGTCGGTGGAGGGGAATCAGGCCCAAAGTGTTTTGGAGAGGAAAGATGATTTTCTTGGTGGCTGAGGGAGGTGGAGGAGTGCTGAATAAAACTTCTGGCACCGTACTGAACAGAAAGCAAGTCTGAGCTTGTCTTGAACTGAAGGCAGAGCAGATGGCAAACGAAGGAAAGCATTTAGCACCACGAATTACAGGCCTACGTATCGATGCCCTTTCTCTGAACTGCAGTGGTAACCAGTGACCACACATAATGCTGCATGCAGTCCCGGTGACGCCAGTGGGTGTGACGTCTCAGTATGGAATAGTAAAGTCTGTGGCATGTGGCCTCTGCTATGGTCCACAAGCCCATTGCAAAGCCTTTGCTCAACGCTGACCCAGAAAAAAGTCCTGAGGGAGAAAGGATTGCTTGGCTTGCCAAGACTGGGCGCTGAGTGATTCAAGGGGGTAGTGCAGGTGGCAAGCTATATACTCTGGGCCCCACCAGAGGCAAATAGCAGGAAGTTATCAGGAATACATAAAGGCTGAAGGGTCAAGTAATCCAGCCTTGTTACATAAAGAGCACAGATGTGGTCTCTGTGCCCTGTGACCCAAGGATGAATGCGTGGATGGAGAAGATATAGCGGAGGACAATAGAGTCTGAATGAGGGCTTGGCTTGTTTTTGTCCACATTCAAAGTTTGGTCAAAGCATCATCCAGAGGGTTATTCTGAATATATAGCACGTGGGTTTAACTGAGATGAGAACAGGGCATGGGCATCCCATGATCCCAAAGGGAAGACAGGAAAGAAGCCATGAGACCGGTAGAAACCCAGGAAGCAGGTGGCCTAAATCCAGTGGCATAGCCCTAGCCAGCCTCCAAGGATCCAGTGGCAACACTTTCATTGCCTTCCAACAGAGCAGGATCCAGCCCCTAAGCTGAAAGGGGGAAGGAGTTTCTTTGCTATTGCAGCATTGGTGGTGTAGCACTGACTGGCACGGTGGCTGCTGACGTGTGTAGCATCCAAGGGCCAAGAGCAACCAGCAGATTGTGTGCATTACCCTGGGCAGCAACCTGAGAGGAGCTGGCATACAGAGAAAGGCTTTTAGTGAAGTAGTAAGTCGTGGGAGGAGGAAAGTGTTGTAGTGTATCACAGCTAACCTCACAGACGGGACAGGAACTAGGGGCATCTTCCTGGCTTCTTGTGCTCCTCATTCAGATCCAGATCCTCCACGATCCCAAGCTCTTCCTGTGAAGCACTAAGAGCCCCTAGACACCACTGACTTCAAGAAAAAGGCAGGTGAGGGCCTCAGCACTTTACAGGCCTGGGCTCGTAGAGAGGCACAGCCAGGCTTTGCATGGTAATTCACAGTCAGAGGCAGAGGCTGCCAATTTTACACCTGATCTCTTAAGCCCTCCAAAGAAATTACAGCGTGGGCACCATGTCTCTGCAGAGACACCACGAGTGCCCCAAAAACACAGCCCATAAAAAAAAGAACCAAAGTGCTCCCAGTAAAGAGCAGGTCCCCACTCCAGCAAAAAAAAGGAAACAGAACCACACAAAAACTGTCCCACTGATCAGCGGGATCAAGGAAACCTGGATTCCCCGGCTCTGCTGTGGAGATGCCCTGCTCGCATGCATCACCATGAAGGACGACAGCATTTAGCAACACGCATGCAAGTAGAAATCCCTTTCACAGAAATGCTAAGTAGGAAATCTGAAGTGACCAGGGAAAAAACCCCAGATGCTCAAGTTAATGTTTGCAGGTAGCCACTCAGGCGGTGGGAGCCTGATTTGATTTCTGTTCCCTGGCACAAAGCCCATCGCCAGCGACGAGCCTCTCCTAACCTCAAAAAATGTGCACGGCTGCTTCCGTTACACTCAACAGATCGTATCCTAGTCTGGGAAGCAGATGAGCTATGGCTTTGACCAGCTAGCTACCACCAGCTAAAAAAAGGGAGCTTTGCTGGTATAAACCTGAGAGCATATAAGGTCTCTCATTCCTACCCCTTCTATCGTGTCCTTCTGTAGTAAAGGACCATCACCCCCAGTTGGCCTGTTTCAGACTGAGTCCAGGCTTTAGCATCCTGACCAGACCCGGCAGCTTCCAAACCTCGTGGTCATCCTCTGGATAACGAGCATTTCAAGTTGCTGACCACCATTGGAAAGAGAGGGCTCCAGCAAGGGAATCCTTCCCAAACAAACTTTGTTCACACGGTAATTCAGGGTACGGTCAATCTAGACCGCTGGAGACAGACAACAGGTTCTGAACACAGCATTCACTTGTAGCGTTGGTGATTTTCTTCTGGCGTTACAGGATTTTCTTTTTATTTCTTTTACACTAAGCTCCAGTCTCGTGCACTCACTGCACACCCAAACCCACGAGCCGCAGTCTGTGGTACGCCCTGAATAAGCTCCTATGTGAAAATAACCATCCTGGAGTCAAGCATGACAATTATACACTAGCCAGAAAGGCCCCTCTCCCTCCTGTGCGGAGCTTGACCTATCTGCCGTAGGCATCAGAACCAGGCCAATCTGCAAGAAACACCAATATGCCAAGGGTGGGGCTCCGTGGGCTTCCCTAAATTCAGCCCACTCAAGCTGGAAAGGGGAGGCAGGGGAGGGAGTTGTCACTAACACTCATCTATATTAAGGCTGATGAACTCCTGTATACACTTCCTGTACTGGAGCTCAGTGGGGCTGTTGCTGGGATATTGACCTGGTTGTCCAAAGGGGCCCTCAGCTTCTCTCATTTCCTCGTTCATCCGAGCCAGACGCAGCCTAGAAGGAGAAAGAGGAGGAAGGTTTTAGTATTTTTTGCTACCTGGCATGGATCTCCTATTGCTCTCCATCCTAAATCCACCTGTCAGCCTCCCCTTGTGCAAGCAACGGGAGATCGGGGTCACACTTACAAGGTGACTATGTCTGCATTGGCCGCCTGGACTGCAATGCTGAGAGGGTCCTGCCCATCTTCATCCACTGCGTGCTGGTTGGCTCCTCGCTTTAGGAACAAGCAGACCTGGCTGCAAAAGGGAAAGCAAAGATGTCAGAGCAGATGCATCCAACACCCATGATAGCCACACTGGAGGGAACAGCGAGGCACAGGGCCTCTCCCAAGACATTCTGCTCTCTCTGCAAGAGAAGGCACTCTCTCTCAGGTCAGGAGACAGGAGAAGAGGAGAGCAGAGCTGGGGCCCAGCAGGTCTCTGCATGTGACTGTGAGCATGTGGACAAGAAACCCTCCCAGCCTAGCCCAGGTGGCAGGTGTCACAACTGCATGCCCATGGCCGCTGGGGAGAAACAGAAGCCCTGGTGACATGCAAGGGTGGATTCTACCCTATGGGATATGGGATTTGAGCAGCACTGACAATCGCATTGCTTAATTTCACTCCCAACCAGGTACTGCAGAACCAGACACTCCATTGAAACATCAGCATTGCAACATCGGCACAGTCACCCAGCAGAGCAAAGACATGGGAGCAGAGAGAGGGAGGAAAACAAACACATCACTGAAAAATGCTGGGTGAAAACAGCAGAGACTGGACAAAAACAGCAAATGCAGAGAGCAGATACCTAACACAGTAGAGAAAGGGGAAAGGAAGAGTGTAATAAATAAATGCATGCTTTGAATAGGGGTCTGGTTCTCATTTATATTGGTGTAAATCAGGTGTAACTCTGCTGAAGTCAACAGAAAGACAGGAAACAGGGCACCCACTTATGCCAGCCTGCCTGTTTGGGGGACACGGGGTTCTTCTGTCCCAAACACACACAAGCGTTTGTCTCCCCCTCAATTGATTCAGCAAAGCCCAGGTCCCTCCACCCACCTTGGCTCTCAGTTTGGTCCTGAAGCCCTGAGCTCAAAAGTGTGTTAGCACAGCAAGAGAGGGGCTTACCCGGTGTGGCCCAGGTATGTGGCGTGGTGCAGAGGAGCCCGGCCCCGTATATCTCTTTGGTTAACATCTGCTCCATTCTGGAGCAAGAATTCACAGGCTATCAAGGAGCCCTGTTGAGAAAAGGGAGAGAGAAGTTGTGCCGGGTTCTGCTCCAATGCTGGACCTGAGGGTAAAGGCCAAAGTGGCTCCAAGGAAGAATCAAACAGAACTTAGCAGCTGGAGGATATTCACCAAAGGGACCCAAACCTGCAGCAGCTCGGAGCAAGTCTCCTTCTCTAATCAGGCCTGAGTCCCTGAATGCCCATCTAATCCTTCCACCAAGAAAGGAAAGTCTCATTTCAGAGAAGGGGTGGACATCAGACATAGTGCAGGCAGGGAATGGGTAAGCTGCACCTCTGCCTGCTGCTCTCACGGCTGTCCCAGGCTGTCCCCTGCAACCAGCACAGCTCTGCCAGTCCGCTTCACTCTTGCCAGCAGCCCCCAGCTCCCATGCTAGCAGCCCAGACAAAGATCCACTAAACTAGGCATGCTAAGTGCCTAAGATAAATCTAAGCAGAGGGTTTGGGACCATTAACTAGCTATGTTACCAAGCTGTCCCCTCTTCTTCCTTCAGAGCCGAGACGTTCAGATCTGCCAGCACAACCTACCCCCATCACAGCTTGAACCAGAGGAGTTTTGTTTTCATCCTCGTCATTCACCCAGTTGACTTCTGCACCATGAGCCAAAGCCTCTGCCATGAGAGGCAGGTTCCGGGCCCGGGCCGCCTTGTAAACCAGCAAGCCGGGGTGCAATTCCCGTAGGTCCTCCAGGTCCGAGGCCTCCTGTTCGATCTCTGCCTCGCCGCTAGACTCCTCTGACACTTCACACTCTGAGAGGGAGAGAGGGGTGGGAGAGGTGAGCCACATCCTGCTTTACTCATGTTCCTCGCTGCATACGCTCCTTGCCAGCCTGGGCATCTGATAGAGATCTTTCTCAGGGGACACTGGAGATATGCAACTTTGACAACAGTGAATAAGTGACCCTTTCCCCCTACCGAAGACCCCAGGAAGGAGGGAAACAATTGATCTGCCACTGAAGAAACTGGGCAATGCAGGGGCAACTAGCTCAAGGGGAAGTTCTGCGGTGACATCTTTTCTTCTCGGAGAGCTGGGTATGATGAGGGCGGGTGGTTTCTCTCTACATAGTCAGGTCATCATAAAAACAGCATGATAAGCTGCTTGACAGACATCGGGTCCTGTATCTGAGGGCCTCTTAACCCAACATTTTGGCCCCTTGGCATGACATGGGGCGGTACAAGGGAACAGGATGACTCTGAGCCCCATCCACCCTGCCTTAGGTCTGTTGGTCATCTCCTGCCAGTGTTCGGCTGCGAATTACACCCACCTTCCTCCGTGACGCTGTCCACCACTGAGCCAAACACCAAGACATCGGTGCTGCCGTCAGTGCTGCCTCCCAGCCCACTGTCGCTGCTCAGACCTGCAGGGCCAACAGAAGACAAACCAAGATCATTTTAATATGCAGACAACCTGCCAAGCCTGCTTTTGGTGCATCAGGGCCCTCATCTCCCCAAGCTGCCTCCCCCTATGTGAGGGGGTGCTCCAGCATGTCTCCAGCACATCTTCTGCTGGGGAGAATAGCAAACTTCCCCCTCGGACAGGATCCTGGAGGCCTTGTACTGGGCCAGAGACAAGAGCAGTGGCAGGGAGAGCTTTGTAGCAGGGTGGGTAGCATCAGAAACAGAGACAACTATCTGCTTTCACCTCTTACTGCCTCTGTTTCCCCCTCCTCCAGGCTTCCCCACCACCCTTCACTGTTTACTGGGGCATGTGCTGTGATGCATCACTGCTGGTTGGAGGGTCACTTGACCAGCTTCCTGACCCATTCATATCTATAGTCATATCACACTTCACATTTTTCAGGCACTCATTCGCCTTTCCAACCCCCTGGATGGATGGGTAAATATTAAAGGGCAGCCAAACACATAACAGAGGATGAGTCGCATGAAGATGAGGCAACTTGGTCAAGGACACAAAGGGTATCAGTGTCAGAGCAGTTTGTATGCCCTTCCTGCACTTCGCGGGGAGGGAGCAATTGAGAAACACCGGAAAGGAGAAACCACCGCAGAACTGAAAATGGAAGATGTCTCCCAAAGGGACTGGCATGTCACCCTGGTGCCAAAGAAGATTTCTCAGCATCTGTAATTTCACCATCCTAGGAGCCAAAAACTACAGTAGAATCCCTCTATGGACAAAGAAACTATCCAAAAGAATCAGATCTGAGGTCTACCTGTGCCCCTGGCCTGCAATAATGATCAGGACCATCTGCACCAGCATAAGGTATTGAAATAATCCCCCTCACCCTACAGTGGGATTCGTACTGCTCTCTAATAGCTAGGGACTGGTTTGTGCCCTGAAGCCTCAGGCTAATAGCCCTTCCAGAGCTCCTTATGTATATCTGATCCCTTGAACGTAGAGCAGAACGGGAGAGATGGGCCCAAACCAACAGCTGGTCTTAGGATCCAGATCAGGGTGCAAACTTGGCAGGGTGGGCTCATCTCTATTAGGAAGAGAAGAGTCAGTCTCTAGAGGTTATACCCATTGAGATAACCCACAGCACCTCACTTCAAGGTTTGGGGCAGCTGTTGGAGATGTAATCAGGGCAATAAGGCATCTCAGTGACATCCTGTTGCTGGCTTGGTCCCTTTTTAATTGCAATGAGACTTGTGTAAGCAAAGTTTTCATTCTGAATAAATCATACAATCCGGCCAGCTTGTAAAAAGGTTATGAATCTGGCAGTTCGTTTTCAGTAGGATACACTGAAAAGACTTGCCAGATTCAGTAAAAGATGAGTGCGTAAAGGGAAAAATAGGCATTAACTTGGACTGATTATTTCTTAAAGGGACATCATTTTGTGCTAGGCATTTTGATCCAGTTTGATAATGTTATAGCAATGTAAATTCTCTGATATAAGTGGATCCAAACTTTCACTTGTGTAAGCAAGAACCAAATCTTTTCCATTTTTTTTTAGACTTCACACTCTTTAATTTGTGTCACTTGTTGCACTGTTGGGCAGCTAGCAGTAAGTCCCCGTCTAGCGAAACACATTTTTCATCAAATGATGAAATTTTGTTGAGCATTTTTCCTTAGTAAGCACAGCAGAGGTGTGGGTTTTGATTTCACACTTATTTCAAATAAAGAGCAAGTCTTTACTGAAGTGGCTGATTTACTGACACACCACTACTTCATTCAGTTCTATTGAGCAGAAGTTGAAAGACATTTAGCACCTCAAAGGACCAAGTTCCTGGACCCTTTCCTATACAACAAATGAAGTCCCCATAAGAGTGATGATATTATGATAGCATCATCTAAAGCCAGGCATGATACAGGCAAGCAAGCTTCCTCCACTCTGCTCTGCCAGTGCTTTCGATCTTGCCTTAAAAAGCAGATATTCCAGTCCTGATAGTTCGTCAGCTTAAGGTTGCCAGTTGTGCTGAGCTCTACCAAGCTGCAAGGTAGATTGGCTACAGGACAGTGCAGGCATGAGAGTGAGAATATCAGACCCATTTCACTTGTGACCTTGAAGCAGGATTTTGAACCCTGGCTGTCAGAGTCTGTACAAAGGCTGGCGAGTCCCTTGGGTACAATTAGAGCCTGTAATGTATTCAAGGGATTTGCTTCTTGGCCCTTTTTCATTTTTGCCAAACTCTATCCTGCTTTTCTTAATCACTTGCTGAAAAGTGAACACTTTGTTAAATAGTCCTTGGTCCTTAACTTGTTTTAATGCAATTTAGTGCAGGTACTGGATTTCCAAAAGGGGATCTACTTCGAGTGCACTCCTAGACCTCATGGTGTGTTTCTGTCCTCCTCCTGGATAAATGCAACTCATGGGGCCAGTGGAAACGTTGAATAGTTTGCTTTCAATTTGTCATCAACAAATTTCCCAAAATGTTTTGTAGGAAGTGATCTCAAAGGGGAAATGAACCTAGTTGAAGGACCTGGCTGCTTATTACTGCGAACGAGTGTTGGTGAGAAATGTTGTGCACCGTTCTCTGGCTCAGGTCACTAAGACCCTAGTTTTCTAGCCAGGGATACACCTGTGTCTGAGTGCAACCTTGTTGACTCCACAGGGACTTCACATGGGCATGACTGGATCATTAGCTATCTGCGGTAGGGGTCAGATTCTGCTCTCGGTGGCATCAGTGGAAATACTGAGTAACTCCAATGAGACAGACTGAGTTTACACCAAGGTGAGTGACCTGAATCTGACTCAGATCAAGCACAAGTGGAACTGCCCGAAGTGCCAGGCACCAGACAAACTCTTTTTCTGCTCAGTCAGTGGCAAAACTTTTCTTGATGCCAGTCCACTGCTAAGCATTTTGGAGAATCCCACCTAAACTGGGCCTGGGAACGGATCATCTCAGTTCAGATAGAAACTCTGAATCTGTAAACTCCCTGAACACTAAAATAGTCGCAGCAGTCTCAAAACTAGAACAGGCTCATGAAAGCCGCGTGCTACACTGACTTCAGCAGGGCTGAATACAACATTAAAGTGAAGCCCTTGCTTTTGTGCTTAGCAGAATCAGAGCCGTAATCACTTCGGCTTTCTACCCTATAGCAATACTTATGTGTCTGTCTCTCTGTCTGCCTATCATTTTCCTGAGGCCCCTGTTATAGAGTTTTAATGGTGTAGTTTAAAAGAATACATCGCTTCCTCTGACTTTTGCCTGGAACAAGTGAAATCTGTGGGTCTCTTGCTGCTAGCTGCTATGGCGTCACCTTACCTCCGTCCAGGAGGAACGGCGTACCGCTCCCACCGGGACCAATGCCACTGCCACTCCATGGGCCAGCTCCTAGCGGGTGCTGCATAGAGATGTGGCTGGCACCTAAGAGGAAGGTGGACGGAATGTGAGGGGAGTTAATTGTCACAAGCAAAAATAATTAAAAAAAAATGTTAGCAGTAAGACTGGCTTAAAAAAAATAGAAAAAGCTGATGGGATGTTCAGGTTGGGGAGAAAGGGCATGGAAAAAAAAACCCATCCACCAAAATACCAAGACCAGGGATGGATTGGAAAGAGATTAAAAAAAAAGATAAGTGTGATAAAATTGGGAAATGGGTCAGGGCTAGTGCAAGTAACTCCCCCTCACTCTCTCTTTAAACATTAGCCCCAGTGTGTGTGTGTTCTCTAGTCAACTGGCCACCTTTCCAGTGAGGGCTGGTACCTTGCCATCAGTCTGGTGCAATGCACATGCCCTAGAAGAAGTGGGAGATAAAGACATGCCAGCAGCACAGCTGCTCCCTCTATTTATACTTACTGCGTGGTCCAGAGCCGGCGCCTGTGTCAAAGTAGGAGAAGAGGGAGTCCAGCTCATCCGGGCAGAAGAGAGAGTCTCGCCGGAATTTCCTCTCCAGTGTGGCAGCTGTTGGCAAGGGAGGGATGTTTAAATTTGTAGGAGCAGGGGAAAAGAAAACCCCATGCTTGTGTTTGTATAATCTGAGCCTGGAAAGTGAGCCTGCAGGTCTATGCAGAGAAAATAATAAGTAGCCTGTTGGACATGGCAAAACCGCTGTTACACTGTGACATTTGGGGCAGTGGGTAACCCTGCATAAGGACAGACTCTGCTCTGGACCAGCTGAATAACAATAAAGGTAGTCTGAATGTGTTGATAGTCTGGACATGATGATGAACAAGCAAGTAAAGGATCAAGGAAGCAGTTTAGAGGAGACCTTTGATCATCCTAAGGTATGGGTCCCACCTGGAAGATGGTCGTGCCGTCCTTCCTGGCCTGCAAGGGGTAGCTTGTAAGGGAATTGAACTGGAAAGCTATATAAAAGGCGTGCTTGTGCAATGGTGTGAGCACTCATAAGGCTGCAGCCACTAGAGGGAGGCAGTATCACACGCATTTTATCACAGCAGATCTATCTAGAGCAGAGGGCAGCATTGCAAAAACACAAGGAGCAGTTTGGACAGATGGGTGTAGCATGTTGCACTGGAAAGGGGGAAGCTGGGGCTGTTCCCACCTGATGACAGTGCTGCTGGCGATGCATTTCCTGCCTCGTGGCGGTACTTCCTGCGAGCTGTGGGTGCTTTTGTGGTGCTGTTGTGCCGCTGGCACTTCTTCACGCTCCAGCGCCGGGGTTTCCTCTCATTTTCCACCAGGGCCTCAGTGTTAGGCAGCTTCTTCAGGAATTTCTTCTCCACGTATTTGACCTTGATCCAGGCTTCCTTGTCTTGTCTGTAGGGAGAGCAAAGCAAGCATTTACTGCGCGGCTCATGTCAAACGCATAGCACCAAAAAGACCCGGCCACTGCAGGACCCTTGGAGCATATGGTGAAAGGCGGGTCCCCTGCAGCTGCAGGGCAGCTCCTCTCCCTGTCATTTAGGGTAGTGAGGACTGTAACACTAGGGCAAGATGTGAGGATGCTTGCTGGCCACTGCTTCCCTTGATCTCTTGCTCTTTAGAAGGATTTTACACCTACCTTGTAAATAAAGCCAAGAAGGAGCCGGCCCTAAACCTCAGCACACCACAGCTCTGTCCCCAGCTCTGCCATAGACTTGCTCTGGGCCTGGGGCATGTCACTAAAGGCAGACTCCTCAAACCCAGTGGCCGAGTCAGGCTTCCTAATAAAGAGCCTGGTTATCAGAGATGCTGAATGACCACGGATCCCACCCATTCACAGATCTAGGCTGGAGGATATGCCATGCAGCAAAATGGCAAGTGGTGTGAGAGGCAGCACTCTGAGAGGGGTTAAAGGCAGAAACCTGGGCATGGTAGGGGCATGGAAAAGCCTATTGAGAGACCAGAGCTGTGCCCTGGCAGGTAGCATGGAGACAGGGGGAGGTAAAACAGGAAGGAGAAGGGTGTCTACTGCAAAAAATTAAAGTAGATTCCCAGTACCAAAGCAGCAAAACTAACCAGTACTGTGAGCTGTTTGGTGGCATCCTTTTGCACTGTCCACAGCACACTATTGCTGTCCAACAGGCATGTGTAGGGCTAATCTAATCCCTTTCTTTTCCCTTTTCTGCAACTCTTCCATGCAGAAAAACAGGATCCCTGCTGACCCCATGGCCAGAACCTCAAGGACAGAGCTGCAGGGAGGCACTGGAAGAAGCTGAGCAGAGGGGCTCAGACTTACCGGGAGCTCCCTGACGTGGGCTTCTTCAGTCCCAGCTCTTCACACTGTGCTTCATAAATCTGATTCATGGTGGTGTTCCCCAGCTCACACATCAGCTGCAATAGGGCAGAGGAGGGAGAAAGCAGTCAGCAAAGGCACTGCACTTCCATTCATCCTTGGCCCCAAGAGAGGAATTCTGCCCCAGCTCTGACACTGAAAACCAGCACTCACTTTCAATAACTCTGGCTCCCAGGAATCCAGCGTGAGAGATCGGACCTTGGAACAGTGAACGCCCAGACTCCTGGAGAACCAAAGGGGAGACAGGGAAGGGTTGTAGGCTTCAAAGCAGACTTTGTACATCAAAGAGGAGCCCCGAGCAGGTGGCAGGATGAATGGAAGTGAGCACAATTCATATGCACACAATGCAAGTCACAGATTTAGAGGCAGAACCATGCACATACAGAACAGTTCCCTCCCCTGCGGGGAGTTCCCATAGCTCTATTTAATGCCTTGTGCGATAAGGGCACCCTGCTGAGATACTTAGCTTTCAATTGTTTTATGTTTATTTTCATACTCCCTAATTAGAATTAGCCCTTGGAAATCTGGAAGGGAAATATGTTTCCTTATTTGAAATCAGTATCCTACCATGACACATGCCTGCTGGCTTGTTGTGGTAAGGTTTTTTAGGAGAGCTAAGCTGGGTGCCCATGGTTTGTTATTAGAGGGGGTTAAAAGCAGGAATACTTTACACTTACGCAGCACTTTGCACCTGAAGATCTCAAAGCACTTCACAAAAGCATGTAAGGTTTAAACGGAGAAAGGCCAGAGCAGCTGAACAATTTATCCAGTGAAAGTCAATAGCAGCTGGGAATAAAATCTAGGTCTTCTGACTTCCAGAATACTCCTTTAACTTAACTACAATTTTCACAAGGAAAATAGGATAGATCACATTCAGGATAATTGCACCTTCTATAATTGCTGCAGACTTTGAGTGATGCTGTGTTTTAAAATGTTAAGTTTAAGTAGTTTCACTCCAGTCAAGATCACAAATCAGGCCATTTAGTGATGTGCTTTATGGTTCCTTATTTGTGCAGATATACTCAACATACACAGGAGGTAGAAACTGTTATCCCGGGGGCGGGATGTGTGTGTGTGTGTGTGTGTGTGTGTGTGTGTGTATATGCATGTATATGTCTATATATGTATGCATGTATATGTCTATATATGTATGTATGTATGTGTGTGTGTATATATATACATATACATATACACACACTCATACATACATACATACATATATATATATATATATATATACATACGCATAAAATATATAGGTCTGATGGAGCGTGTGCATGAAACAGAGATATGCCCGTGCATATGAGCATGCATGCGCGCACACACAAAGAGGTGCTGCAACCTTCTGTGCCTTTGAACATGGCTCTGTAAACACAAGTCAGCTATAACGCAGGCATCCCCCAGAGGCAGGGAAGCAAAGCACCCAGCCGCTAAGACTGCGTTTGCACAGTACCTGTGGATCCCAGAGCACTCGATGCACAGCAGAATGCCCAGGTTGATACTGGCCCACCGGGGATCCGACTGACCACAGTCACAGCACTGGTCATTTCCAGGAATGCTCTGGACCCTCTGCAGGATGGTCTCTCCCTTCACGTTGCGGTCCCGGGAATCCGTGGCAGAGTCAATGCTGCTAGTAGACGGGGAGGCAGTCCGGTCCAGTCTCTGCAGGGAGACAAGGGGACTGACTGTGTGCTTTGCAACCCAGCCTCTGACTGGTCTCAGACACTGGGAAGCTAGATGTAGCGTAGTTCAAGAGGCTTGATTATTTGAATGAAGGTCATTTCTGTTGTTCCAGAGATACTCTAGAATCATACTGAGAAGCACTCAAATACCAGAGTGGGCTTTCACCTCATAGTCACAGGAGGAAAGTGCCAGGTAGAGGAGCCTGAAGCAGCATTAGTCAAGGAAAGCCGGGGATGAGGATACCTGTTCGGCTCATCCCCTTTGAACCAGAGTCTGGGAACAACGTGAACTGGGAATTATTCACCTGTGCTGCCAACCTGTGCCCCCAGATAGCAACACAGGAGCAGCAACCCCCTTCAAAAGGCCACAGTGCTCCTTAAGGGAGAACATCCTGCAGGGCAATGAGTCCCAGGAGGAGGATGTGAGGAAGGCAAAGGCTTCAGGACTGCTCTTTACACTTGGCTTTGATTTGGTCTGCCCTGTGTGCTCAGCAGCACCTGGCCCTGCCCACGGTGCCCATGCCCGCTAGCCATTGTGAGCTGCATGACTAGCCTCAGTGCCCGCCGTCTGACTCACTTCGATGTAGTAGCTGTCAGGGCTCTCCCGGTACGCGGAGGCAATGCTCGCCTGAACTGCCTGGATCCAGGCCTGGCGCAGCTTCTCCGAGTCGGCTTGCAGCATGCAGCTTCTGTCAGGGAAGAGGCCGCAGAACAACGGGTTGGTAAAAGGCCATGGGAAGGGAGCCGCAGCTGCATTGGGCACCTGAATTTTATTTACAGCCAGCTAGACAAGCTCAGCACTTTTCTCTGTGCCCAACTCCCTCGGGCAGACCCAACAGAGACAGCAAGCAGCCTGCGGCAGTTCACCTCTCTCCGAGATTATTTTCGTCTCCCAGACACCATCCATCCCAACATCATTGCCCATATGGCTGCTCTCATTCTGCTTCTTTGGGGTTTCCTATAAGATGCCCCAGCTAGCTCCCCTCTCGGCCGCAGCAGGTAGGAGAGATGCTGGAGCGCCCCTCACAGCCCTGGACCACGGGTCACTGCTCACATCCTGCTGTAGGGCCAGTATAAGCCATGAAACCACAGCTCCCCGCTGGAACCTCCCTGGGGCTAGGAAAGACTTCATCTGATGTCTCTAAAATACCAAAGGGAAACCTATTTCCCTCCCACACCCACTCTCACCCCCCCACCTCCCCATCACACGGGCACAAACATGCTCGCTTCCTTCACATCATGTCTCCCTTTTCCCTCCCATGCTCGCAGAAGCTTTCTGACCCGCACACACAAGCCAAACACACACCTTCCTCCCCCCAGCACCTTTTCCTCAACTTCCCCCTTCATCTGCCCTGATGCTTTCATGCAACTCAGGGAGAAATGCTGGTAATGCAGCACCCTGAGAGAGAGAGCAGACACTTGGCAGAGTCCATTATAAATTCCCTTCAGGCATTATTCAGCATCTCTGTCTGACGGGCTGTCTCCAAACACCGCTGCGTGACAGCTGGTGACATTTGCACTCCTCTGCCTCCCTCCTTTCCACCTGCCCCACTTGGCGAGAAGCACCTCTCAGTCTCTCCCAGCAAAAATCTGGTGCATCTCAGGAGACAGTCCCTTTCACACTGCGTTGTGTCCGCTCCTCCTCACTAGCCGGATCCATGCAAGGGAGGCAGGGATGGCATTACCCCTTCATTCCTATTGTGATGAGTATAGAGCCAGAGCACCAGGTGTTTAACCCTCTTGGAGTTAGGGGTGTCTGGAGCCCAAGCCCAGATGTAGTTATGCATTTCACAAGCCCTGGATTGCAACCCCTTTGCCCACTTCAAACTTTTCAGCCTTTCAGGTGCAGGCTTGGGTTTAGAAAAGCAGATTCAAACTCTCTGACTGGGGCCTGCATCTAATGTTGCTGCTTCTAGGTTCTCCAGGCAATCCCTCTTCCTTGCAGAATAGCAACTCGGAGCACAAGGAAGCCTGCTCTCTCCCAATGAGTTGTAAGTCAGGCCGGAGTTCGCTGCTGGTTGCCCTACAATTCCCCACCTAATCACACTACTTTGTTCTATGGCCAGGGAAAGCCCCCAAACTTACTTGGTAGGGGAGACGACCTCAAAGCAAAACCTCCTTTCTATATCTTCACAGGGCTTGACAGTACAGAGACGCAGGTCTTCCACCACTACCGTGAGGACATCCTAAAAAGAAAGAGAATGGGCACCTGTCTGCGGACTGCAGGCAGCTTGGCACTTTCTCCAACACCAGGATGCCAGACTTCACAGCAGCACAAGTCCCTGCTGCATTTGTCTTCGGACCATCCTGGAAATGCTCTAAGAACAGGTATTCTCATGGCATCTCCAATGCCAGGAGTGAAAAAGAGAGGTGCAGGGGGAAACCAATAGAAAGAGCAATCAGCTGAACTTTTAAGAAACAGGGGTCCTGGGAACATGGCCACTCATTTCCTCTGTTAGACAGCAATGCCAAAGTGATTTAGCCACTGATCCCTGCCATGTGGTTCTCGGAACAGCTTGGGTTCTGAGCAGAGAAATATCGGAGTGGAAATTTCAGACCACGCTTGCTGTCAGAGCCTCAAATTCATCCTCCGCCCCCTGCTCGTCCCCAAACAGCAGGGCATCAGATGAGATGACTAATCTGCTCATGTCACCTGGGGCAAGCTCACTGACCTTTAGCTTCTTCTGGTATACCAGCTGGCTGTTCTGTATGGAGAACCACCTCCTGAGGAGAGACAGGGAGGAAAGAAGAGGCATCAGAGCAAGTGATTAGTAACAATGTGAAAAGGTGAGATGCAGCCACCTTTCCCCTGAAGGACAGGGCATCTCTGCTTTTGCAAAATAATGCCATTCGTTCCAAGAAGCATGGAAGATATGACCCGGGTAACGAAGCCTTGCATTTTTATAGCACCATCCTTCTGAAAACAAACAAGTGCTTTGCAAGATGAGCGAATGACAGCATTTAGCACTGAGATGCTATGGGGACACATGTCCTAGATATGTCTGTGGATACATTTCTAGAAAGGAAAGACAGCTTGAGAGAAAGAGGTAGTGTTAGAGAATCATATACTTTATTGTTTGCACAATATATATATATATTGTGGAGATATATATATATATTGTGGATATAATATATCCACCCAGGTAGGCCCCCTGCCCACATTACAGCCAGGGAGGGGGCTGCAAGCATCATGTTAAGGTGGTATATGGCTGCGTTAGGCGCAGGGAACTGGCTGAAACAGGAGTGAGGGATGATCTGCTACAAACTTCCAGAAGTCTGATTTCCACCCAAATCAGACTCACCGAATGTGCGTTCCGATCCCTGGCTTTAACCCTAACCCTAAAGTCACAGCCTTACCCCATCTCCGGGGTAGCTCTGTCCCTGATGTCACTGCCTCAGTTATGTATCCCACATGATGATATCTGTGAAGTCACTGCCCCAGAGCCTAGATACCATTTAGATTAGAGGAAATTAGGCTTTTTTGGGGGAGTGGAGTTGTCTTTCACCAAAATCAACAGAGTTCTGATCATTGTTATCCAGGATATTCCCTGAAAAGCCCATGAAAATTTCAAAATCCATTGTATAACAGAGGGAGGGACCACCAGAGAAATGCCACTGAGTCAAGGGTACAGCTTTGATTTGGCAGGGCAAATGTTTCTGGATTTTATCAGCATGTTATGGAAGTCCACCCATCCACCCACCTATCATCCCTAATAGCACACACCGCCACAGAATTTCTGAGCATCTTACGCTGGAAAAATGAAGGCACGCACAGAAGCTAACCGATTTGTCTGAGTCTATGTCAAAGTAAGGAATATAATGCAGATGGTCTCACTCCATTCCTGTGATCTCCCTATAAAGTCATCTCTCTGGGAAGCAGGGAGCTGAAAGGCTACGTTCCATGAAGGATGGGCATGCAGCTGGGTGAGGAAAAGAGTCAGAAAGCCTTGAATTTGAACAGTATTTAGACTTGCACCTTGCCCTCAACATGCAAAAGAATTCATTTTCCTGGGAAAACAAAATGAGCGACACTTCTATTTCTATCTTTGCAGAGACATAAGAGAGACATAAAAGGTGACATTAATAAAAGATGATCTGTCTGCCAGGAATCAGAGGAATGGAGGTAACGAGAGGCCTTTTCGCTTGCTCAGTAGCCCCTTTTGATCAGCTTGTGAATATGCTTGGATCTGCAGCTCTTTGCACTCCCTGTTGTGACAGCCATCCCCCCTGACAGTGGCAGTGGTGTATCCTCCAGGATCTTTTCTGTCACAGGAAGCCAAGCAGAAGTCTGCTTTCTGAAACTGTGAGCCTGGATGCCACTTCTTGCAGTCCCGAGTCTCTTTCCATTTGCATTTCCTGGCTGGGGCAACAGCTTTAGGGCATGCACTGGCATACAGTGCTGGTTCTTATCCTGAACTCTTAGGCTTTGGTTTGTACAGGTGCATATGTTTCTCACAGAGGAAGAGGCTGTAGCCGTGTTGGTCTAAGGACATCAGCAGACAAAGTGCTTTGGGTAAATCTGATATCTTTTATTAGACCAACTCAAATAGTTGGAAAACATTCTTCTTTGCAAGCTTTCGGGCACAAACACCCTTTGCCAGGCTGAGGAAGCATCTGCAGTTTCTCACAGGGGCTTTTTTCCCAGGGCTCCTGAAATCATGGTCACATCTCTCTATGTATGGGGTGGGAGGGGGGGATGTGGAGGGCTCTAAGTAGGTGGGATGAAGGGGGGCTGTGGCTGTGAATAGCTGCGATGTGGAGGTATGGAAGACTATGAATAGCTGGACTGTGTAGGGAGAATGCAGATGGCTGTGAATAGCTTGAATTTGAATGTGCGGGATACAGATTGCTATGAATAGCTGAAGCATCCCACTTTCGCCCCAGATTTGTCAGGTATATTAGAAAGATTCAAAAGCCTGGCTCCCTGCAGAAGAAGGTGCCTTTGGGATAAGTCTAGGGTACCTTCTCCAGCTTTACATCAGAAATGCTGAGGGCTGACCCACGAATCATTCTGAGGTGCGGCTCAGATGAGTTATAGCTCATGGGCTCGCGAGCACCATATGCAAACCTCTGCAGTGCTGGGCTGAGTATCTCCGGGGAGCAGCTGTTCTCACAGGAATATGTCACTTCGGCTTTAGGTCCCTCAGGAGCCCCTGAGGTGCACACAATGCACTTGAATGTCATGGAAATGGAAAAGCCTTGGTGCAGAAACATTGGACCAAACCATCCTGGACTCTGTAAGACAGGCTCGGCGTGAGTCTGGGGTAAGGATCTGGAGAGGGAAGGAATGACTCTGAACAACGTTTCTCTCTCTAGGCACGACATCAACTTGCCGCCTCCTGGCTGAGAAAGGGTGGGCTGTGTATGCATGTGCCAAGGACTGTTCAGCATGTTCTGGTTTGCTCCAACAGGGCAGCAACACATCTCTGCCTCACTGCAGAATATCCCCTGATCATGCTCAGAAACCCGCGCTCTCGGGAGCCTGCCATTACACTGCCATGTCAAGAGTTGGGGGTCAAAGAGGCACTGATTTCACATGCTAGAAATAGAATCTGATAGCTTGAACCCCACCTTCACTTGCAGCAGTTCAAGTGAGGCTCCGTGCCTTGCCCAAGGGATGTCAGGCTTACTGACATCAATCGAGGAAAGAACCTGAAATCCCGCTCTGGCCTGCACTTCTCCAAGGTCCCTGGGAGCTCTACTGCAGGAGGGAAGCTAGCATTTCAAATGAACCATCATCTGAAATATTAATAAGGGACTAGCAGAAGGGTCAGCGCCTGGAGGGAGCAGATCTCCGCTCCTTGCTGCACAGCTGACATTTCCAGGCTCCCACCTCTCATCGCCTTGCAAAGCAAGGCTGTCTGATATGAGCAGCTCTCAAAAGCCATGCTTGTCCTGCTGTGTTAGATGTTCCTCTTGATGGTTACAACTGTACAGCTTTCCTGGGGCCTGACTCCAGCTGCTTTGTGTCCGGCCTTCCAAGCATGGAGCCTGGTAGCTGGCCCATCAAGGAAGGTGCTCACTGTCATGCTTTCTGACTTTCGCAAAGGTACAGTGAACCTCAGGCAGGTTTTTGTTTCTCAAGCCCAGCCCATTAGGAGTATACCAGTTCTCAGTAAAAAAAAAAAAAAAAAAAAAAAGAAACAGGCTAGTCCCAATGAAAGCAAGTAGTCCTATGTGCCACTTCCAGCGGTAACACTTCACTGGACTGGAGGAAAGTGGGAAAATAGAGAAGTGATACTAAAAGAAAGATTTCCTGACTTTCAGTGGGAACCCTTTTAGCATTAAGAAGCCAGGAAAAGCCAGTTTATCCTTCAAATTATTTTCACAGCCTACAAAACATAAAACATTTAGCTCTTTTTAATGGGTTTAGTCATTTCTATCCCAAACAGGCCAGCATTGCAGGACCCGTCCCATCCCCCCACCATTATATCACAAAATCCCACAAGTTCAGCACACACAAAGTGAAGCAATAGCACAGCTTAGCAGTAGGAAATCCCTGTACTGAAAAGCTCATCGGCCTGGAGCTGCTGAAGTCATCTCAACAAAGGCAGATTTCATGAGAGATGTACCAAATCAGTGCCGGGCACTGCTAGATGCCCTTCCAGTCCTGAGCCAAAACCAAAACCCTCATCCAGCCACCAAATGAATCATGCTTGATTACTCACCGGTTCCACGTTTTGAAAGCATTGCTTGCTCTCTTGAAGAGGTAGCCTTCCATCACCACTCCATTGGGGGCATCAATGTTGAATTCCACCTTGGAGTCATCATAGGAGAAGTCCTGCAGATTTAAACAGATTGAGAAAACATGTGCAACAGTGGTACCACTCCATGCCACAAGAAGCTCCGGTGATGAGGATGATCAAAATTCCCACCTACACGGGAAATTTGGATGCCACAGCAGCACATTGGGGTTAGGATTGGGAGGAAATATGGGATATTTCCCAAGGGAAAATATAGAAAAAGGTCCTGTAGTTGACTTGGTGGTTTAACATGGTTTAACTTGGGTTCCCCCTGGAGACCTAAGTTCCAAACCCTGACTAAGTTACTAGAAAAAATGGATTTGCTGGTCTGTGCCTTTGTCGTCAAAGCCATCTAGTTTGCATCGTGAAAGTACTCCCATTTGGGTACTAAGCAATGATCATCACAATGGCATTTTGCTCTGGTCCAGAAGTCTGAGGTGCAGAGGTTGAAAAACAGAGCACTTCAAGTCGGAAGTGAGATGTAGTGGGAAAGCGTTGGGCGATTCCAGGACTGGAATAGCAATACACATCAGGCTTGAGGAGCCCTGGCTGGAATTGCAGAGGGTTATAGGACTGGGGCAACAAGAAGTGCTCTTCCGTGGGCAGGAGTGCAGCGCACGGGGCCAGCCGTGTGAAAGCCAAGCGGTGGAATAGCTGAGGTCAGGCAGGACAGAAGAGAAGTAGGCATATTTATACGATCCAAGTGTCCTTTGCAGTCATGGTGATGGATGTCCCCTTCCATAATTTGTGCTTGCCTTATTTCCTTCAACTGCCTGGCCACCCTAATTGTCAGTGGGGCACTGGACTCAGTCAGTTTGTTGCAGCTCCAAATGATTTTTTTTTTCTGGGGTTAGACTCCGACCGGCCAGGCTTCGGCACAACTGCACCCTCTTCTGAAGACAGTCATCAGCATTTTTATACAAGGATTCTCCACAAAGCACTGTCCTTGGGCAGGTGTATTGCACACAATGCTCCTGAAAACCCTCCCAGCAGAATCCATGCCTCACAGGACGCTCCACTCCAGCAGTCCCTCACTTTAGCAGATTGCAACCATCACTGGGAGCCATTACCAATTTTCACTCCAATAGCCTTAGCTGTTTCTATTGTTCAGAGGAAGCAACATAAATGTGGTTAACTACTGCTCCTCCTCCAGGGAAGGCTGTGGTTATGCCAGCAGTTAAGGAAAGAGGCTGGGTGGGTTGGTATTTCTTAATGGCTGAAAATTTCCAAGCTCTAAATGCAATCTTCAGCTGGAAGGGAACTGATAGCAGGGTGCTGCTCAGTGAAGGTACCCTGTATATCTGGTGATGGTGTGCCCTGCCAGCGCCTATGGCTCCAATCACAGCAAAAAGAGGAATAAAGGAAATAGTAACTCTCTCATTCCTTAGCACTCCATGCTATTTCTAATTTCCCAGGCAAACAGAGGCTTCTCAATCACATCTCTCTCTACCCCGTGTCACATTATGCCATGCTACTCGAACAACCTGAGCTGGCTTTTTGTGCTTGACACTGTTACACCAGTCCTCCCAAATGGGAACAGCCAGGAAGGGAGAAGACTACACGAACACATGGGAAGGTCTGCTCCCTGGAGAGGACCGTGTCTCCTGCCCATGGGAAACCGGGTCATGGACTCTGAATGACTTCCCCCACCGCCCTGGAGCACTAAGCAGACCTCTCTTTCTGCAAAAGGCTTTTGCAATAATCAAGTACTCCAATTCCAGGTGCTTCCCCTGCGCACAAATATTTCTCCTTGCATTGCTTGATTCACAGGACCAACCACACTATGGTGAGAAGTGGCACCATTAGCTTAAGTGCCTTTCCCAGCTCAGCATATAAAGACCCCAGTGAGGCTGGGTTGCTAGGCAACATGCACTTCAGTCTCATTAGGATGAGTTATTTCTATGTTTGGTGATGCCAGCTTGCCAGGGAGGTGTCATAATAAGAATAATACTGATAGAGAAGGAGGAGATATAATGGGACAAGCCTGAGTCATTCCTTGAAAAGGCAGCAGGACGCCCAATTAGCCAGGGGAAGCTATGCTGTAAGGCTCCAATTAGAGAGGGCCACTCAACCTCAAATTTACTTGCCATTAAAGGAGGTAAATCCCATGCGGTCTCCTTTGTGGCTGCTTTTCCGTCGTATCGCAAACAAAGGCAGGAGGGATCTTGCTTGAAGCAGCACAAATCCCCAGCTGACTCCAGTGGTGGTGGTGGAATCGCTCCAGCTCGAGGCTGGTGTGAATGGGATCAGGATCCGACCACAAGCACCCAACCAGAGGAGCTTCCCAATGGACGGCAAATGCTCTTTAAGCAGTCACCCTGCAGTGCTTCCCTTTCGAGAAGAGCTATAACCGGGGACCCTGTATGTTAGCAGGACTTCTTCAGCTGCCCCCAGATAAACACCATGTGTTAAGGGAAAGGAAAGAACCTGGCTGATGAAGGCAAGAACAGATGGGCCATATGCATCGTAGGGGTAAATCAACAAAAAAGTCAATTGGGATCAGCCCAGGTGTGAATTGAGCCCTGCGTTTGTTTATACGAATGGCACTTCGTGCCATTTTAATTAGCTCAAGCCAGAATCGTGCGGCACTTCGTTCCACAAAACTGTCCAGAAAAAAAATTGGCGACAGCATGCATTCGGGCACAAAATGATCAACAGCATGTAGAGAGCTTCCTTGCCTTCCAAAGAGCTCTGACTTGTACCAGTCTAGAGAGTTACACACACACACACACACACACACACACACACACACACAGTGTGTACACTACTAATAGGAAACTGAGAGCTGCACATGGCTAAGGAGAAAGACATCTGGCTGCACTAGTTCAACAGTCCTTTTTCTCTTCGAACCCCTTTTCTTTATCAGGAACAGTCTGTGGGACAAACTCTTTGCAAAGTTGCAGCAGTGAAATTCCCAGGAAGCTCCACTGACATCAGACAAGATACACAAGGGCAGCGGAAGGCAGCATATGGGCCCTGGAGCAATAAGCTGAATTTGCAAACTACATCTAAGTAGAGGAAGAGATGTGAGGGATAACACCTGTCCACGCTGTCTCTGATAGCATACCCTTGTGCATATCCCACAGGTATCACTGACTATGTTTCATTTAGCCACTCTGGTTTTTGAGAAGGAAGCACATTGCTATATACCATACTGTAGTGGGATAAAAGGGAAAATCCAGAATTCCCCTCCCTACCCACAAAAAAGAAGAAAAAAAAAAACAACCAAGAATCATTTCCCCTTTCTCAACAAGGCAGAGAAAAACAGAGACATTTTGGAAACGGCTTGGATAACCTGAAGGTAACCCAGGCACAATTCGATTGCGTGGTGCGTTAAACACCCCTTCCAGTCACAGATGGCATCAGAGAGGACTGATTGCTATCTGCCGGAAGAAAATGGAAGTCAGGTCCATTAGGAGAGACACACAGAGGCAAAATAATCCTTTGTCTTTAGGAGAGGTTTAACCCTTTCAGTTCAAGACTTGGTAGCATAACATCTGGGCAACCCTGCTGGATCTAAGCCCCTAGCATCTTCTCAGCTCCTTACTCCTCTTTTATTAAAAATCTAATCATATTATTAATTAAAGTTAATCAATATAAAAAAATCTGACAGTGAAAATCAGCTGGGATGCTCTGTGCACAGGCTTTAAAAACCGATTCCAGTGCATTCATGGCTTTACCTCACCCCGGCATGTCGGCCACTGAAAGCAGAGGGGACAGAGAACCAGGGTTCACACGGAAGAATTGCTGCTAGAATAGCTGCCTAACTGGCCAAGTTGCATTCCCAAATGCTGATCCTCAGGGTCTTCCCAGCAGTCAGCAGGGAAAGTTTTTTCAAGCCCCTGAGGAGTTGGGTTTGAATAACACCATGGGGCAGCCCTAGCTATATATTGTTGGTCTGCAAACTATACCCGACATACTTGCCCTTCTCTGGGCATGTGTACACATGCAAAATTAATAGGATTCATAGATATTAGGACTGGAAGGGACCTCGCAAGATCATCGGGTCAAGCTGATGAAAGGCTGCTGGGGTCAAATGATCCTAGCAAGATAAACCTCCAAGGGTATCTTAAAGGTGTCCAGAGTAGGTGCTTGCATCACTTCTGGGGGAGTCTATTCCAGACTCTGGGGACTCAGACGGTAAATACGTTTTTTCTTATGTCCAGCCTAAAACGGTCTTCCTGGAGTTTGTGACCATTACACCTTGTCTTCCCTTGGGGTGCCCTGATGAACAGATGTTCTCCCAGTTCCCAGTGCACACCCCTTACATACTTATAGGCTGACACCAAGTCCCCCATGAGCCTTCGTTTCTCCAGGCTGAAGAGTCCCATGCCCCTCAGCCTTTCCTTGTAAGACTCAGCATTTATTACACAGGAGTTTATTGCTCCCACATACTGTGTTCACGCATGTGGTCGGGACTGCAGCATGTTGTTGGAGCAGCCCTGGCTGGCAAGGGGCCCGGGGATCATCCTGCCAAGCCTGGGGCTGCTCCAACCTGGCTCAACATGCTGCAGAGGGGCTGGCTGGGCCACGGGGGGGCTCCAGTGTGGGGCTAGCCGGCAGGCAGCCCCCGCACTGAAGCACCCTTGTGCCCCAGCCAGCCAAGGCAACATCTACACATGAGCTGCTGTGGAGTAAAAAACTCCACAGTAGAATAGTACTTGTATTTACACATACTATCCTGCTGCGGAGTTTATTAGTTTACTCCAGCCTAATAGCACTGCGCGTGTAGACGCGCTGAGACATTTACTACAGCTAATTAGTCCACTCCACAGTAAACATCTCATGTAGATGTGCTCTCTATGTCTAACCCTCATGTGTGCTATTCAGTGAAAGACAGTCAGGACTTGTAGTAGAGATGATATCTATTCTTAAACCAATAAGATTTTTGCAAAAAATATCTTTAATCGCTAATAATAGATATCATCTCTACTGTGAGCCCTGATTGCCTTTTCCTCTAGACCAATATGGCTACAACCTGGATACCATTCACTGAAAGAGGCATTTATTGCTGCTGGCCTTGTGGGGACAAGTCAAA